TCTCTTCATTTCTTTCTTTCTTCATTTCTTTTTCTTTCTCAAAATACAGGAAGCCAAGTGCTTATGACAATTCATTGGTGCATGCAAGTGTGCAGAAACTTCCATAGGAGCGCAGTGGCTTTTGCTATGCAAAGGTCCTGTGGTCAGAAAGCTCAGACAGAATTCTGATTGTCAGGAAAACCTTCTACCAGACTGTGCTTTCCTGGGGGGAGGGGCTGCCAGGCTTCCTTTCCCCAGCCCCTCTGTTGAGGTTGTATCACTTGTATCAGTTATGGGTTAATCAAAGAAGCAAAATCACTAGATTTTTACTTACAGGGGTTTGACTTTACACAATTAAGAGTAGAAGAAGGTTAAGTAATCTCTGTAAGGCTTCTGTCCTCATATCTGATGTTGGAGCTTTGAGTCCACAGGCAGACAGTGGTGAAAGGAAGATGGATGTAAAGTGGGGAATGGTCAAGGACAAGATTGAACCCATAAGCACAAACTGGAATTCATGAGGAAGGACTGAAACCTGTTCCAGTTCTTACAGCCTGTGAGCTTGATGGCGTGATGACCTGCAGAACCTCGGGTCTTTTGGTATGGAGATAAATCTGGCCTAAGAGTTAGAGAAGTTGGAAGAGCCCTGGAAAGACAGAACAGCTGCAGGCCTGGTTGCTGCCTCACCTCAGCAAGAGGAGCCAGCAGCTAGGTGACACTGTGTGTAAGCTGCAAAATGGCCAGTGTTTCCTTTTTACTCACCAAAACTCCCAATAGAGCGTCTGTGGCCCACTCTAACTGGAAACATACAGTGAAGGGAATTCTGGGAAATGTAGTTCCACCTGGCCAAGTTGACACACTATATTTTTATTTATTTATTATTATTATTTATGCTTACAGCACCTGGTCTTCTTAGGTGGTCTCCCATTCAAGTACTAGCCAGGCCCGACCCTGCTTAGCTTCTGAGATCAGACATAGGGCTTGTTCAGGGTGGCATGGCTGTAGATCATGGACCGTGGCTCCACTAGGAGTGAACCTAGGACTTTCTGCATGTAAAGCAGACATGCTAACTACTATGCTATGGAACCATGTCGACACACTATAAAGCCACCACATCATCTTTGGCTTTTTTTGCATCTCTCATGGTAACTTTTCTCTCCTTTGATTTGACTGAAGTATCTCACTGGGGTCCAACCACCCTGAGTGTATATTTGGGGTATGGAGGGTTACTGTTTCGAGAAAAGCCTGGATAGAGGAGTGTGCTTGGATAGGCAGCTCAGGGCCAGGATAGCAGGTGAGGGTCTCTCCATCAGATGGAGCTCAGAGAAGAGCCAATGATGCATTCTCTGGATAACTGAGAGGAGCTCCTGGTGGGCTGAGCCTCCTTTCTGTCTCCCACCTCAACCCCTATTATATCTTCTTTACTTCTCTCACTCTATTGCACTCCAGGTAGCTTCAAAAGGTACCATCTACCGGGTTCTTTCTGAGATTCAGGGAAAAGTCAGGAGAGAGAGAAAAACTGTTGAATTCCCACATAGTAGGTATAAGAAAGTAGTCCTGGAGAGAGAGGTCACAAAGCCTAGAAATGACAGAGCTGAGTGTTTGCCCTGAGAAGGACGTGCTAGCTGTCCAAACCCAGATCTGTCACTAGGATCAATGGCCCTTTGGGACTGCATTACTGGAAGAACAAAAAAGAATCTATAAAAAAAAAAATATACGGGCATGATCGTACACATGGGTTAAGAAACTTGTAAAAGCTCCTCTCTGAGGTTGTTGAAAGTCATTTAGTGAACAAAAATTTATTAAGTCCTTACTTTATACAAGGCATTGTGCTAAGCACTGGAGTCACAAAGATAAATAAGAGATAATCCTTACCTCTAAAGAACTGGTACTCTAGTGGGGCAGAGTGGCATGTATACCACAAAGTTCAATATAGGGCAAAGTGTCACAAATGCTTTAAGAAGTGTAAACAAACTGCTATGGGAATACAGAAGAGAGAGCAGTAGGGGAATCCAGGAAGGCTTCACAGAAGAGATGGCATGAGCATGGCCTTGAAGAACAAGCGGGATTTTGGCAGGTGGAGATCTAATGTAAATGAACTTCATGCTTAAAGATCAGAACTGAGCAAAGGCAAGGAGCAGAATTAAAGGTCATATCTGGCCTATGAGATATAGACATAGGTTCACTGGGAAAGAAGGCTGGAAAAGTAGGTTGGGACCAAACTGTGGCCTCTTGAATACAATATTTAGGAATTTAGGTTTTATTCTACAGATAATATACATAATCTTAGAGGAAAATATTTTTGTTTGTGAGGATGCCAAAACTGTTGGTGGGAGTTAAATCCAGTTTGGCAATATGCATCCAAAGATTTAAGAACATGTATACCTTTTGACCCAGTAATTACACTACATGGAAGTAAGGAAGCAGCAAAGCATAGTATTTAAGGTTGTGACTGCTGGTGTCAGGAGATAGACCTGTGTTCAAATTCCAGTTCCAAAATTTTCTAGCCAAGTGATCTGGAACAAGATGTATAAATCTCTCTAAGCCTCAGATTCCCCATCTATAACATGACTAGAACAAGAATATTTCATAGGGTAGTGAACATTAACTGTGACAAATGTGCATTAGTATGCCTGGCACATAGATAGTGATCAGTACATGGTAGTTTTGAAAAGGAAGGAAATTTGTCTCAAAAATATAAGGTTGAGACAAAGACTTTGCAAAAAGATATTCATCAAAATATTAGTTATATTGTGCTTGCTTTGGCAGCAAATACACTAAAATTGGAACGATATAAAGAAGATTAGCATGGCCCCTGTGCAAGGATGACATGCAAATTTGTGAAGCATTCCACATTTTTCTAAAAAATATGCTGCTAAACAATGAATGAATTAATGAGATCAAGGAAGAAATCAAAAGATACCTAGAGACAAATAAAAATGAAAACACAAAGACTCAAACACTATGGGACACAGCGAAAGCAGTCCTAGGAGGGAAATTCATAGCCAGGCAAGCCTACCTCAAGAAATAAGAAAAAGCTCAAATAAACAATCTAACCTTACACTTAAAAGAATTAGAAAATGAACAGCAAACAAAGCCCAAAGCGAATAGAAGGAAAGAAATAATAAAGATCAGAGTGGAAATAAATGAAATAGAGTCTAGAAAACAATACAAAAGATTAATGAAACCAAGAGCTGGTTCTTTGAAAGGATAAACAAAATTGACAAACCCTTACCCAGACTCATCAAGGAAAAAAAGAGAGAAGACTTAAATAAATAAAATCAGAACTGAAAGAGAATAAATAACTACAGACTCCACAGAAATGCAAAGGTTCAAGAGAAAATACTACAAGCAATTATATACCAACAAATTGGACAATTTGGAAGAAATGGACACATTCCTAGAAATCTCCCAAGACTGAGTGAAGAAGAAACAGAAAATCTGAACTGGCCGATTACCACCAATGAAATCGAATGAGTAATCAAAAATCTCACCCCTCCTCCTCCCCCCAAAAGTCCCAGACCAGATGGCTTCATAGGTGAATTTTACAAAACATTCAAAGAAGAAATAACACCTATTCTTCTTAAATTATTCCAAAAAATTCAAGAAGAAAGAAGGTTCCCTTACTCCTTTTATAAGGCCACCATTACCTTGATTCCAAAACCAGACAAAGACATTACAAAAAAATAAAACTCTGGGCTTGTATCTCTTATGAACATTGATGCAAAAATCCTCAACAAAATATTCGAAAACCGAATTCAGCAATACACTAAAAATATCATACACCATGATCAAGTCGGATTTATTTCTGGGATGCAAGGTTGGTACAATATCCACAAATCAATTAATGTTATACACCACATTAACAAATTGAAATATGAAAAACATATGATCAAATCCATAGATGCAGAAAAAGCATTCGTCAAAATCCAGCATCCATTTATGATAAAAACTCTCAGCAAAGTGGGAATAGAGGGAACATACCTCAACATAATAAAGGCCATATATGACAAACCTACAGCTAACATCATACTCAATGCGGAAAGGCTAAGCATTTTCCTTAAGATCAGGAACAAGACAAGGATGCCCACTTTCACCACTCCTCTTCAACATTGTATTGGAAATCTTAGGCACAGCAATAAGACAAGAAAGAGAAATAAAAGGCATCCGAATTGGAAAGGAAGAAGGAAGACTCTCATTATTTGCCAATGAAATAATACTGTATAGAGAGAACCCTAAAGATTCTACAAAAAACAACCAACCAAACAAACAAAAAAGCAAACTGTTAGAACTGACAAAAGAATTCAGGAAAGTAGCAGGATACGAAATTAATATTCAGAAGTCAGTGGCATTTTTATACACTAATGATGAACTTCCGGAAAAGGAAATTAAGAAAACAATCTCATTTACGATTGCATCACAAACAATAAAATACCTGGGAATTGAATTAACCAAGGAGTAAAACACCTATTCTTGGAAAAATGTAAGTCATTAAAAAAAGAAACTGAAGAAGATACAAATAATGGAAGCATATACCGTGCTCATGGGTAGGAAGAATCAACATCATTAAAATGACCATACTACCCAAAGCAATCTATGGATTCAATGCAATCCTTATCAAAATACCAATGACATTTTTCAGAGAGCTAGAACAAGTTATTCTAAAATTTATATGGAACCATAAAAGACCCCAAAGAGCCAGGGCAATCTTGAGAAAGAAGAGCAAAGTTGGTAGTATCACACTACATGATATGAAATTATACTACAAGGCTACAACAATCAAACCAGAACGATACTGGCATAAAAACAGATACATTGATCAATGGAACAGAATGTAGAGTCCAGAAATAAGTCCACGCCTATACGCTCACTTAATGTATGACAAGGGAAGCAAGAATATACAAAGAGGTAAAGACAGTCTCTTCAATAAATGGTGCTGAAAAAATTGGACAGATACATGCAAAAAAAAAAAAAAAAAAGAAGCTGGACCACCTTCTTATACCATATGCAGGAATAGATTCAAAATGGATTAAAGACTTAAATGTAACACCTGAAACCATAAAACTTCTAGGAGAAAACATAGGCTGTAATCTTTTCTGATCTATCTTCTCAGGCAAGGGAAATGAAAGAAAAAATAAACTAAAAGTACTACATACATCAAACTAAAAGTTTTTGTACAGCAAAGGAAACCACCAACAAAACAAAAAGACAACTGACTGACTGGGAGAAGATATTTGCTTGTGATACATCTGATAAGAGGTTAATATCCAAAAGAACTCAGAGAACTCAACAACAAAAAAAATTAAAAATGGATATACCTTTTGACTTAGCAATTGCACTTCTGGATATTTATCCAAAGAAAACTGAAATGATAATTCGTAAAGACATATGCACCCCAATATTCATGGCAGCACAATGTACAACAATCCAATTTAAAATGGGCAGAAGACTTGAACAGATATTTCTCCAAAGAGAAATTATAGATGACCGATAGACATATGAAAAGATGCTCAAGGTCACTAATCATCAGAGAAATGCAAATTAAAACCACAATGAGATATCACCTCACACCTGTCAGAATGGCTGCCATCAATAAATCAAAGAACAACAAGTGTTGGCGAGGATGTGGAGTAAAGGGAACTCTCATATACTGTTGGTGAGATTGCAAATTGGTACAGCCACTATGGAAAACAGTATTGAGGTTTGTCAAAAAATTAAAAATGGATATACCTTTTGACTTAGCAATTGCACTTCTGGATATTTATCCAAAGAAAACCGAAATGATAATTCGTAAAGACATATGCACCCCAATATTCATGGCAGCACAATGTACAATAGCCGAGATATGGAAGCAACCTAAATGTCCATCAACAGACGATTGGATAAAGAAGTTATGGTTTATATATACAATGGAATATTACTCAGCCACTAAAAAAATGAAATTGTACCATTTGCAACAATATGGATAGACCTAGAGGTTATTATGCTGAATGAGATAAGTCAGACAAAGAAAGATAAATACCATATGATTTCCCTTATATGCGAATCTAAAGAACAAAAAGAACAAACTAATCAAAAACAGACTGACAAATATAGAGGACAATCTGAGAATGGCCAGAGGGAAGGGTGATTGGGGGACTGGGAGCAAGAGGTTAAGGGTTAAAAAAATACAAATTAGTAGTTGATAAGTGGTCACGGGGATGGGGAGCACGGCATAGAAAATGCAGTCAGTATTAATGTAATGGCTAGGTGGAGAGCCAGAGGAAAGAAAGAGCAATTAGGGGGATCATTTTATAAAGTATATAAATGTCTAACCAATGTACTGTATACTTGAAACTAATAAAATAAAATTTAAAAAATATGTTAGTTATGTTAACAAAGAATCAAATGATATAAACATTCAAAGATAGTAAATCAAATTATGGTATATCAATGTGATGAAATGGTGCTTATAAAGAGTTTTAATGATATGGGGGATACTATGTGATATAATATTAAGCCAGAGATGAATATGCAACATTAAATATACGACTTATTTTTACTCAACTTAAATATGACTAGAAGAAAGACTAGAAGGAAAAACACTAATGTGTTAACCATTTGACCCAGAAATGCCACAGAAGTGGAGAGTTGTGATTTTTTTCCCTACTTCTTTATAGGTTAAATTTTTTTAATTAAAGTATACTTTGCTAACAATATTATATGAGTTTCAAGAGTACAACATAGTGTTTTGACATTTACATATCTCACGATGTGATCACCACAATAGGTCTAGTAACCATTTGTCACTATGCAAAGTTATTAGGATATTATTGACTATATTCCCTGTGCTATACACCACTCCTTGTGGCTTATTATTTTTTACAATTGAAAGTTTGTACCTATTATTCCCCTTCACCTGTTTCACCTATTCCTCTACCTACCTCCCCTTGAACCAGTTTGTTCTCTGTATTTATGAGTCTGTCTCTGCTTTGTTTTGTTTGTTCAGTCCCTACTTCCTGGAGAAGAGATCATTCTGGGATTTCTAGTTCTGGCTATTACAGAATAACTATCATGAGACTTACCCCTCTGCTGTCAACAGCTCTAAAAACTGGATGAACTTTCTAAAACAACTGTTTCTGGGCATTGGACCATGACCAACATAGGGCAATGATCCTTGTGAGAAAAGATTCATTAGAGGTGGGCCCCATATTCACACTATCTTTTTCTCTGAGGGAATTTTTCAAACTACAGTACAAGGTCTTGCTGGGTAGAGGAAACAGCAATCAGGATTTGGGGCTGTCAGAGTAGCTGGGATTTGGGAGGCGGGGTCCTATAAAGGAGAAAGCCACAGAGAAGGAGCCTGCAAAATATCCATAAAAG